AAGATATGCTCTTAGTGGTTCCAGGGGTGTCAGATTAAGAAAGGAAAGAAGAGGGGTTTTAGCCGATAAGAGTCGGGCAGTTCCCGGCGTGGGAATCCCCAAAGCTTTTCCCTCCTCTAGAAGAAAGAGATTAGGTTAGGTCAGATCTGGTTAGTTCAGGTCAGGTCACTTCAGGTCAGGTTAACGAATCAATGGCTGTTGAAGAAGGAACAAAACGAGGTAGAGAGAGACTAGAAAAAGAATACCGAACAAGCTATAAAGAATTGAGAATTACCATATGTAATGCCAAAAGAGAAGCTTGGAAAACCCTGTGCCAGATCTATATTACGCGTTATTGAGACAGGGATAGGATGTCCAAATAAAGTGATCAATCTATAGACTACGTTGACGCTAAAAAAAAAAAGAAAATGAACAAAAAAAGTAATTTTTGGTGAAGATAAAACAAAGTGTTTGAAAGAAAGAAAAAGAAACTGAACACGGGAAAGAATTCACAAAAGACGAGATACTAGCAACATGTAACAAACTAAAAAAAGGATAGGCTCCACGGTCTACCACCTGGGGTAATCAAGTCGATAATAGAAGCAACTTCGATTATTTCCAGGTCTTGTTCTAGGTGACGCGAGAAAACGTTTTCCCTGTCACCTAGAAATCCAAGAGTTAGCCAAAACAGCTAACCAAATATCGTCCGATATGCCTGATAAACAAAGTACTACCGCAAAACTTACAAAAATCTCATAAACAGTAGAGTGTTAAAAAACACAGTGAAGAGAAGAGGCTTCCATGACAGACGAACTGGTTTCAGAAAGAGCAGAACTGCTATAGATGTGAATGTGGTTATAAATAACGCGAGACGGGCCTCCAGCTCAGATAAATGGAACGTTCTGAGACAGATCACCAAGAAGTTGAGAGAGAAGAAAGTTAACAGCTATTTGATCAACTTGATTGAATAGTATCTCACCGACCGGAATGTCCTACTGTCGATTAATAGCATTAGACAAATTCGGGCCTAACAAATTCCGCAAGAATTGGTTAGCATCGACCTTGTGGAACCTAATTTACGACGACATAATGACCATAGACACTCAAGAAGGCATTGAACTGATCTGTCAAGTCGATGACTTGTCCGTGTCTTTCACGGCAAAAGATTCAGCAGAATTGAAAGTGTTATACTTGATACACCTGAGGTTAAAATAAAATAAGCTAGACCCGGCCACAGAAAAAACCATGACCATAATAATAGTTAATAATAAATGGAAAATCGAGAATATCGGATTCAGATTTGGAGATGCTACGATAAGCAGTAGGAAAATACCACTTATCTAGACATCACACTCGATCGATCCCTGAATTTTGGAAAACACTTAGAAGTCGCAGTGAAAAAACTCGGAAAACTGCAAAAGCGTTATGCATAATCCTGGCTAACATCCGAGGACCCGGATTCCAAAAGAGAGGTATGTTGGCCATAAGTATTGAATTTATCATATTATTACATAAATAGATGCCCGATCTGGCAAAGGTCCATGTAAGTGGACCAGAAGGCTGATGAAGTATATAAAGCCATGAATAGAACGAACAAGGAGACAAGTAGGATACTATGTGCATCAATGTGTCAGGACACGGTACGTACATGAGTAACCTAAGTAACCTAAAATAAAAAAAAAGAAATAGGGGCAAGTGTATGTATTGCAAGAAGATAGATGCTGTAGACCACACTTTTTCTGAATACCCACGATGAGAAGTAATAAGAATACCAACAAATACGGAAGTTGAAGTTGTGTGTGTGAGAGACGGGTCTAGGGTACTCTAGGGTTAAAAGGAGCAGTTTTAGTGAGTAGGGCACCCTTGAGGGTCTGTCGAGTGTCACACTCCCCCGCCTAATAGAACATCCAAGGATAAGATGTTTATAAAAAAGATCAGATCAAGTCTGTTTCTTTTGGTCTTTCATATACTAGCTTACACCAGTGCAGCTTAAAACGTTCCAGATTTGTAGTCCCAAAATTCTCGAATTGTATGTTCTGATCTTCTCAAATCAAGTCAGGGTGGGTTAGGTTAAGTCAGATCTGATTAGATCAGGTCAGATCAGGTCAGGTCGAGTCAGGTCAGGCCAGGTCAGGTCGGGTCATGTCAGAAGTGTGAAAGAGAATGAAATAAATGCTGGTGGAACGAAAACATAATGAGAGAGAATAGAAAAATTCACAGATGGCGGGGCGAATTGAACGGAAAGACTGTTGGAGGACCTGAAGAAGAAACAAGTTGTCGCCTAAAGAAAACTCGGGAAGATGCTAAAAAGGTGAAGGACATATTGTGGAAGCTATTTGTGAGAGACCTGTAGAACGACATATGGGGTAAGGCGTATTAGATCGTCGCCAAGAGATTCGGGCTCAGAAGTAGAAGGCATCTAGACGCACAACTATTCCAGGACAGGGATACTACAAAGATGACTCGAAAGACAGGCCGAGCGAAAACATTCCCGATTTCAAGCTAGAAGAACTGGCGAGGGCCACGGTGAAGCTCTGAAACAGAATAGCTCTCGGCCGGGAGAACGAGATTCCCAAGAGAGTCTTAAGGATAGTGAACAGGTGCTTGGACCAATGAAACTTGAATACCGTCGACAAGCTACTCGAGAGGTTGATAGGTGACAGGATTAGATTGAAGGTTGAATCGAGGATGGGGGGATATCAGAGAGTCAGTATGGTCTTGGGCAGAACGGTGGACTACCACACCGTCTCCAACGTCACAGATCTACCGAAAGAAGCCACGAATGGAAGCTATAATTACAAGAAGCTGGGTCTTATAATAACCTTCGCGTTTTAAGCGCCTTGGAGACACTCGAGGTACCGGAATACCGAGTCAGGATAGTCAATATGTTACTTCGAGGACAGAGTACTAGTCGTAGGGGAAAAGTGATTCGAAATGGAACTGAGTACTTTGGAACGTTTTCTATGATGGAGTACTGACATTGAGCACTGGTCGAAAAAGTGATCGAATGGATGGACAAGCTAAACTCGAGTTTGGACGGTATGGAGTAAGAACTCCATCAAATATTTGGTAGTGTAGAGCGACAAGGACACCAGGATGGTATAGCACATTAAAAACAATTTAAAGAAAGCGGACAAGCCGCTGAGAAAGATCATGTCAAGTGAAGACCTCCCCAGTAGCGGTAAAAGGAGTAAAAGGAGGACTCTGGTGGGCCCAGATTTTGAAAGCCAAGAACTACCAGAGAAAGGTCTTTCTTCGGGTGGTCTCGACTAATTGTACCGTCTCGAACGAAGCGCCGTCAATAATTACCGGTACTCCCCAGATACACTTGAGAATGATCCCAATAGTGCAGGACTGGGTCTAGGCAGGAGTGGGAGGGATAGACTACTATGTCATTCAATTCCTGACAGGGATGTCTTTTACGAAACGTATTTAAGCAAGGCTCAGAGTAAGAACTATAAACACTAAGGAGCTATAGACGCATGCTAAAGAAGGGAGACGGGAAGACATCAAAGAAATAAGTGGAAAAGTATGAGAAAAACCACAGATGTGATGACGCCAACGCGACTCGACGCCCACTAAGATAATATCCTGAAAACAATTGCGTAGTGGGTGCCTATAGGGACAGAGACGTGGAAGGGTTTTAGTGAGGTAATTCCTGTAATCCCATTTTGAAGGATTCTCTCTGTGTCCAGGAGGAAAAAAAAGGGTTAGGTTAAGTAAGATCAATTTGATAGAAATAGGATGTGGAGATCTTATTTACATAAGGAGGTTTGTTAATACAGCGGAAGTCATTGTGCCTCTCTTTATAGTCTATAGTCTTATTCCTAATTTTATGAGCAAAGTACCGTGAGAGGTTTCAAAAGGCGAGCATTGTGAAGTAGGTTATTACTTAATTCAGCCCATAAGCGAATATTTCTGGCATGGAATAGGAGTTATGCCATGAAAACGGGAAAATTGTACCTGAATGTACCGTGAAGACACTGGTTCTCTAGGGCGCACACTGATACAATGTCAGAACAGAACTGAAGTATATATAGAAACTGGAGCAAGTGCGTGATCCAGAAATATGGTACAGGTCATGTCACGAGGACAAACTGAGTGAAGTGAAATTGATAAAATCGTGCAAAGTTCCTCTGTCCTAAGAGGGGGAGGTACGATAAAGACAAAACTGAACCCCTAGATACCGTTGAAAGTGGACAGGTAATGTAGGGCTATAGTAAAGAGATTTCAGGTTAGAGTGTGGTTTCTAAGGGACCATCGTCCGTCCAATAGCAAATGGGATCGTTTGGGATTCTGGAAATTTCCTCCGTTTCTATGAATTTAATTTTCAAGGTTCGACAAACTCAAGTCAAGAAGTCAACAGATCTTAATTAACAGATAAGGGAACACACTTCAAAAAATGTAGGTGATGTGCTGTAGTAAATTCGGGGTAGAACAAAACAGAATTTCTTCACTCACTGCACTGTGGTGAATAAAAATATGCAACAAACATAACGCATTTGAATACAGTGTTGCAATCAGTTCTGACAAGTTATGAAACGAAGTTTTTGGTGGAAAGCTACAACTCATGAATAAATAAATGAAGACCTGTTTGTATAAACAGAAATAATTACCTCATACTACATTAAAAACAAAAATATCCACAATCTGCCGTGAACATCAATCAAATAGAAAAAACCTCGGTAAAACAGCGCTGAAATATTTATTATGTACTCGTGACCAAAAGAATTACTTACCTTTACAAAGTAAACGCAGCACCTATATTTTAACCATTCTCCATTGTCTATAAAATGTAATAAATAAACTTCCGCGTCCATCACGCACGTTTGGATAATTACACATTCGCTAATTCAGGCAGAAAGCAATTCGCAACTTGCCCTCGAGCTCCTCTTTGTTGAAACGCTAATTTAGATGTTTGCTTCATCAAAAACGTAACGAGGGAATAAAGCCGAAAAAACGAGTTCCTGCTTCCCGGGAGCCGAAGTAGCGCCCATCAACCCGCATTTCGGTCAATCGACATGTCAAAATGCGGAACGTCTTTCGACTGCAACGAAGGGGTTGGCGGTCCACCCATGAAGAGGTGATTTAAACGGTTGTCAGAATGAGTGTTGAAATGTGGCGAGGGCTTAAGCATGCAACATGTGGGGCACGAAATCGGCCACGGGAACATCTGTCCGCTGTCACTCGTCAGCGTCGGTCATATTTTCCTCTCTGCGTATATCGGCGCAATAATTAGCACATGTTAACATGAACAAGTTGGGCGGGACATGAAGGGGGAACGTTTGAGTGACAGGCGCTCCCCAACGGGTGCACTTCCCGCGTGTGATTAGCGGAAAGAAGAGCTTAAAACTTTATAAATATAAACTGCGAAAAAGATCAAAGGAAATTGTTTAAGGTCTGCGTAATTTGCTGGCGGGGTGTTGACATCTTTTTTACAGGCTTGGGTTTTTATCAAATTTGTCAAATTATATTGGCCATCAAAGATTAAGGCGTCTGTCAAATTGGTTGATAATTGGCCCACGACTTCGCTAATTAAAAAATGGTCTAAAGAGTTTAGACAGTATATCATATGTCCTCTGAAGCATGAACAAATACCCCTTGCATAATTATCAAGTCATACTTTTTTCATCAGAATTTTTATTTTCCATAATATCGATCCTTACGCAAGTCATCAACGTTAAGCTCAAACGTCACTTAATTACGATGACTAGAATATTGGACTATATAATTTAAGATCCTCAGAAATCCTATTTATTCATCACATTCGTTGCTGTCACAAAGTAAATGACCAACTCTTTAACAACACCATCAGATTGCCTATAATCCAACAACGTTCAAACAACTACTTGAAACTGGTTCGTTAATTGATAATCAAAACATATTATACTCTTATATAATGTCAAATTTACAATATACCATCATTAAATGACGTTGAATTTCGGACAGTGATCAAGATGTAAATTTGAAAAAATGTGGACTTTATTATATTCTAGTAACCCTTCATTAAATTTCAAACAGTTGCAGTAAATGTTTTTGGAGATTTTTCACTAGCTCACACATTTGACCCGTTGTATATATTTCTGCTTTATTTTTTTGCTTTTTGTGACCAAAATAAAGAGATAAAGTTGATCAAATCTTGTAAATTCGAACAATTCTAGTGTTATCTTAGATTTAATTCTGATTCTGACATGTTTCGAAGGTCCGTTTTCATACAAGCCCACATGAAAAAGCAGAGAGGACAGAGAAAATAGAGAATCGAGAGAGTGGAGAGAATAGAAAGCATAGAGATAATATCAAGAATAGACAGAAACATGAGATAGAAAAAAACAAAGGAAACGTATAGAAAATTCAGAGAGAACACAGATATCGAGATAACACAGAGAACGTAAAGAATATAGAGAAAAAGCCGGGAGAAAATACCTGAAGCACAACAGAAAAATACATAAGAAATACAGAAGGAACAACAAAAAGAAAAAAAAAAGAGTAAAAGGAAAACGGGACAAGGACAACAGAAAAAATACAAAAAGAACACAAATAGAACACGGCTCTAAAGAGCACAAAGAGGACATGAAGAATAGGAAGGGCAAAAAGAACAAAAAACAAAACGGAGAAAACACATGCAGAGAGAAAAAACAGGGATAGAATAAAGTTAGACCAGAGAAGAACAAAAAGAGAATACAGAAAATATAGAGAACAGCGCACAGACATAATGAAGAACATAGAAAAAATAAAGAGAACATAGAAAAGTTATCGAAAACACAAAAACAACGAAAGAAAAGTACAAAGAAAACCCCTGAGTTTTAGTGAAAGAACACAGAAAGCATAGAAAACACAGAAAACAGAGAGAGAAAAGAAAGAGAAATCAGAGAGAACAAGGAGGTCCAACAAAGCAGAGAGATAACAGAAAGAACAAAGAGAACGCAGAAAGAGAAGTCAAAGAGGATAGTCAGAAAAAACAGAGTAAACATGGAGAACAGAGAACACAAAGAATTTAGGGAGTAAACGGTGAGCCGACAAGGAAAAAACACAGAAGGAACACAGAGAAGAGAACAGACAGCACAGATAAAGAACAGAAAAAAATACAGAAAACCCAGAGAAAACACAAAAAAGGAGGATATAGAAGGGTGAGCTATTCAAAAAGTACAGGGAGAGTTGAAATAAAAGAGAAATACAACAGAAATATAACAGAGATGGCATAGAGAGAGAACAAATGAAGAATAGAGAGAAAGCACAGAGCTAGCAGAGTAAGAACAGAAGGGAGAGAAAACAGAGAGAATCAGTAGAGAAACAAGAGACACAGAACACAGAGAGAGATAACAGAGTGAGAACAGAGGGAGAAAGGAGAAAAAGACAGTAGACAAAAAATAGAGTAAACAGGGAAGAAACAAAAAGAGAACAGAGAGAACATAGAAAAAGAACACGGAGAAAATAGACCGAAAACAAATAAAGACCAAGAAGGGAACGCAGCGAGAACATACAGAATAAAAAGCAAAGAGTTAACATAATGAACATAGCGAAAACAGAAATAACAACACAAAAATGTAGAGAAAACATAGAAAGGGAAGATTGAAAGCGCAGAAAGAACGACAAAAATGTAGTGTGAGAGTGGAGAGTGCAGGGAGAATACAAAGAATATAGAAAAAAGAAAGCATAGAGACAATAGAAAGAATAGAAAGAAATGAAAATGATAAGAGAATTTAGAGAGAACACATAACGAAATAACACAGGGACCGTAAACAAAACTTAGAAGGAGCAGCAAAAAACACAGTCAGAATAGAGAGAAAACACACAGAGAGAGAGAGAGAGAGAACAGAGAGGGAACAAAAATTTAACAGGTAGAGAATAGTTTGAGAACAGAGAAAGAACAAAGAAAACAGAAAGAATAGACAGTACACAGAGGACTTAGAGACAATATAAAAACAAGAACAAAAGAAACATAGAAAAAACATATACAGTACACAGAGAGAAACTAGAGAGCACAAAAACACAGAATAAATATAAAAAAAACACGGAGAAAACAGAGAGAACATAGAGAACAGAATACTGAGAGAACACAGGGACTACAGAAGAAAACGGAATTGGCGGAGTGACAACAGAGAAAAACACATAATAAATACAGATGGTACAGAAAGAGAACAGAAAAAGTGCAGGGACCCGCAGAAAACACAAAAAGAACACAGATAGAGCAAAGTGAACAGGAAAACCAGACAAAACAGAGATAACAGAAATAGTACAAAGATAACAGCTACAGAACAGAAAGAAAAAGAAGACAGAATAGAGAGAGAACGGAAAGAGAACTTACGGAGAACTGATGCCCAACAAGCAGGGTACAGAGGGAATAAGAAAGAAGAGAAAGGTAATAGAAATGGAACACAGAGAGAACATACAGACAGAATGCCGAGAGGGAATAGGGAGACAACGTAGACAGAACATAAAAAGACCACAGGGAACACAGAAAAGACAAAAAAACAGATATAATACAGAGAGAATACATATAGACCAAAGAAAAAAGAATAATCAGAGAGAACAGAGAGACAACAAAGATTCGGGCAAAGATAGAACAAAATATAGATTGAAGTATTGGTTACTGTATTTATAATTGTGACGAATATTTTAATTGTCCATTTGGTTTGCTATGTTAGTAATAAATAATGTTTTTATTTTTTTCTACGGTTTTGATATATCTGCTGTACTAATTTTCTAGTTTGTCTTGTGTTGAAGCATTGATAAATACATTACATTATACTAGGTATAGAACACAGAGAGAACAGGGACAGAGTAGAGAGCGAACACAGGGAGAACAGAGGTAAAGCAGAGAAGAAACAGAGAGGGAACAGAAATAATGGAGATAGAACGGAGAAAGAACAAAGGACGCAGAAAGAACACAGAGAGTACAGAGAGAAAAACTAGAGAGCACAGAATGAATAAATGGAGAACATAGGAATACGGAGAACACAGAGTGAATATGGAGAACTGAGAATATGGAGAGAACTCAGAGACAACAAGGAAAACATGAAGTGACAACAAAGAGGAAACACAAAAAGAACACTATGAGAACACAAAGAAAACACATGAGGAACACAAATAGCACAGAAAAAGAAAAGAAAAAGCACAAAGTACACGGAAAAACACAAAGAGAACGTAAATAGCTCAAACTGAACAGGAAAACCAGACAGAATAGGAGGACAACAAAATAATACAATGATAGAACAGGTACCTATTGAACACACAGAAAATAGAGACAGAATACAGAGAGAATGGAAAGAGAACTCAGGATGACGAACAGACAGGGTACAGAGAGAACAAGAAAGAAGAGAAAGGTAATAGAGATGGAACACAGAGCGAACACACACAGAGATAACAAAGTGGGAACACAGAGAGAACATACATACAGAAAGCAGAGAGGGAGTAGGGAGAGAACATAGACAGAACACAAAAAGACCACAGAGAACACAGAAAACACGAAAAGAACAGATATAATACAGAGAGAACACAAAAAAAACATAGAAAGCTAGGGAAAGCACAAAGAACAGAGAGACAACAGAGAGAAAACGGAGAGAGAACAGAGAAAACAGAGAGATAACGCAGAGAAAACAGATAGAAACAGAGAGAGAACAGAGAGAGCACAGAAAGAGAACACAGAGAGAACATAGAGAGAATAGCGAAGAACAGAGAGAGAACACAGAAAGAACAGAGAGAAAACAGAGAGCGAACAGAGAGAACAGACAGGGTACACGGACAGATTATAGAATGAAAAGCGAGAATAAAGAGAACAGAGGAATGGACAGTATTCAAGAGACGTGTATTATTTTATGCGTAAAGTGAAAAATAAAATAATACTTAATACAGGAGAAAAGTTTTTTTATAAATGAGATTAAATCATTTAAATTTTGGAATGGCATTTTTAATTTCTTGGGAGAAATGGTTAATAAAAATTTTAATGACATTTGTGTTTGACTAAAAATTTTTAATTATTTAGTTCCATAATATTGAGAGAACGTTGGATGGGTGTTTTAAAATCGGCATGGGTTAAACTCAACAATTTATTCCTTAGTAACTCGAATTTACACGACTAACTGCACAGCGATTACGTACAAAATAATTCCGGCGCAACTTGACTGGGTTTTCGCGACACTTGTTGGACTCGACTCGACTAAATAATCATCGTTCCTGACGGTGGCCTCTATTTAAAGAGCCACGCGGTCTTTCTCGAAACACCTCCGTCACAGCTTCTAGACCTGTCTGGAGCACCCATTCGCGACTTCCGCTTCCAGACTCTTTTCTGGCCGCCATCACCGACAATGAGTCATCATGCCCGTACATACTAGAACCCATAGGCGTAGTACCGGAGCGGTGTATGGGTTTATTTCGTAACAATATACATACATGATTTGGCTAAATTTGTTTTTTTCTATGTTAAATGAAACAGAAGTAGATTATTAAAGTACAGGCACAGGCAGAACAGCATTTAATATGAAATTTTGTGCGGGAATAATCTTTACTACGATTGATACACTAAAAATAATATCCTATTTTCGGAGAAAAATTAGTCAAGTCATTTTGGCATTCACCAAAGAAACTGTTTTCTTCGTGACGGCTAGCAGACAAAAATTCATCAAACTGATCCTATTACCATAATTCCCTAGTTTACGCCTGGAACGTAAGAATTCTGCAACGAAGAAAACCAGAGAAAGAATTTTAAAAATATTTGACAAAAATCATTAACAAAATGGCGACTACGAAACAAAGTGTAAACGCTTTGCCAGCTATTATTAATTTCGAAAGTAGTTTAACGCATTAATAATTGATGCGAACGCAGAACGTGTAAAATTCGAGCATAAACGTGCAAGCACTTCATGAAAACCCACTGGCTGCGGTTATAACGCCACGTTCCTATTCTCGTTATACCCGCGATATCCCTATTTGCAGTTTATTTAAATTACTTTCATACTTGCGGATATAAAGCGATTTTCACGTCGACTTACCGAAGGAAATCGTCTGACAAAACAAAATTGATAGATTTTCATGTAAGCCTACGTGCAACAAAAACAAACGGCTCGTTCAAAGAATCTGGAAAATCCTCTCCAACAGTCGGAGGCGACGCCTTTACGGATTCACATATTTCATAATTGATTGCGCCAGGGGAAAGACATAACCGGCCGAATTGGAGCATTTGTCTTTTTTATATTCGACGGGAACGAATAGGGAATGTTTCGGCTTAAAGGACGCGATCCTTAAATTGATTGTCTCGCAGGCAATGTCGCGTGAAAAGCGACCAGCTCGCGGACATTTCCCTCGCAACGAGCAATAACATCCGTCATGGGACGACGTTAATACATTGGGCAATATCCAACAGCACCAATCACGCTTTAAATCCTAACGTCTCCTCTTATTCGACTCAATACGACTTGCTAGAGCAGTTAGATATTTTACCAAACTCCTGCAAAATTTGCTCGTACGACTTGGCACAGGTGCGATCCGCGCCGAATGCTTGTCACTTTGAAATTTAGATCGGGGCTTTAAATTTAGCGGTGGCGTTCAGATTTGCCCCCACAGAGTGCATTTGTAATCACTTTGTCGATGGTTGCTGCAATTGCAAGCTAAATTTTCTGTTGCCCTTTGGTGTAAGCCATCCAAACAAGAGTATAAAACAACCTACCGGACGTAATAGAATTTTCAACATTCGTGTGAACATATTCTAAGCACTAAAGTTCCTGAAAAAACATTGCAACTTTTCTAAATTAAGAATGTCGTGAGTTTCTACTAGCACCAGGTAAAAGTAGAGTTCTACTTGATAAATTAACGTACAAGTGTTGAGGCTGATTTTAATGGAATTTTATTAATATGAAACTGGTGATTTATTACTTTTACTTGGCACTGCATTTATTATTTTATTTATCTTGTCGTTCTAGAACAGTCACTTGAAAGTACCTTATTTCTCGTCTTGGAGTTTGGTCATTAATCAAAAAAAAGGAACATGATTATTTTTACTTGAACCAGCGTTTCAGCAAGACGTCCTTGGCGCATTCAGTATGTTATCAATTATCAACTTCTTGAAACAGTTTGAAGTAATATGTACTCAACTCATTTGTTAACATCAACACAATGACTAAAATTAAGCCTGTAGTTTATATTTGTGACTGGTGAAGATGAAGAAATTCATGTTAAGATTTTCAGCTGTTCCTTGATTTAAAACAATTTAACAGTCATGAAATTGTTCATATGAACCACGTGCTAGGAAATTCACTTATTCAGGCTTCACTCTTTTTTTAACAAGTTATAACTAAAGTGTCTGGATGTTTTCAGTTAAGTATTACATTGTAACACACTTCTTAACCTCTGGATTCAGATTACTAATAATAATTTAGTCTATTCTGAAAGAAAGTACCTCGAAAATTTGCAGTAAAATTGATACCCTCGTAGACTCGAAAAACGGGAGGGGTGAGGGTGAGGGTGATTTCTTCTGGGTGTGATAATTTTCTTGCAACTTGAATTTGAGAAGATAAGATAAGAGAATGAAAGAACACAACAAAAAAGCAACATAATATTAAAGAGAAAAGCCTACTGAAAGCAGTGTTAAAAAAATTCTTATCAATGTATTTCTATATATCCGTCAATTCTTACCCGGAAATTTGGATCGGGAAGAGATTATTTAAATTAACCATGGTATGGTTTTTCAATTAGTTTCTAAGGACAAAGTGTTTTTTTTTTTTTAATTTGAAGAAGTAACATTGTTTAGGTCTGGACATCCAAATGTAGATCCGAATTTTAGCTGAGAATTAAGAAAACATGGAATATTGCCACTAGACTGTCTTAATAGATATTGTGGTTTAGAGAAAAATCGATTTAAAATCGAATTTAAAACAAAAAAAAAACAGAAGTTGATTATTTCGCTTATTATATATTCGCAATTGTAACAGGATTCATCCGTTGAACGCCCACTTTCACGTTTTCGCGACGTTTCAAGACCCCTAGAGTTCCGTTTCCGTTTGTCTGTCTTCTGGTCGATATTTATTGCATTTTACAGTTATTTTAGAAATATCGTGTAGATAGTAAAACGCTTACCAAAATTTGTTTGATCATCCCCACCAAAAATTTGTTGACGTCTCCTCAAGATTTTGTATGGAAATGCTGTGACTGTGTGACTACATATTTTTTTCTAAAAAATTCGTTTTGTTTCATTGTACTTTAAAGGCGATGGAAGTTCTGTCTAATAACATAAAACCAGCTTTTTAATTTTTAATTTTTAAATAGTGAACATTTCCTCAAAAGGACGACTTCTAAAATGTACAAATGTTTCTTCAAAGGTACATTTTTTAATTTTTTTTCAGTTCATCTGAGGTGGAAAAACAACATAGAAAGTAGTTATATAGTGGGGCTCCTAGACCAGGTCAAATGAGGTGAAACTGGCCTAGTAGCCCCACTACTTTTTACTTTAACACTCCTGTTTTGCGCAGACTCGAGTTCTATAAACCATCTTTTTTGCGGTTATATAAAAGTCGATTTATTGTGCATTCAATCATTTGACAATTTGTACAGTTGAAATGTCGTCTTTTATTTCTGACTTGAATAAAAAGTCACAAACTTTGGAAGAGAATAAAAAATGTTTAATAAAAAGTTTTAGTAAAAAGAAATAAAGCAAATTATCTCATGGAAACGTTAAGAAAAGTGTGATAATCATATATCTAATAATAAAAATGTTTATGTTCATTAAATAATGCTAAATATATTTACAACTGGCTGTATTCTATATTTCCTCAATAAATAAGATAACATTAAAATGTTTTTTATTTAAACGCAAGAAAAACTGTCAGGTGTGGGATTCGAACCCACGCTCCCTTTCGAGAATCGAAGCTTAAATCTAACGCTTTAGACCGGTCAGCCAACCTGTCTACACTTAATTGTTTTATTTATTAATCTGTACTATCTAACTAAGCCATATGAGGGGATAGTCGGGATAGAAGTCGAGTCTCCGCAAAACAGGGCCTCTATCGGGGTCAGGTCGACCGAGCACAAGACGATGACAAACGTTCGATAAAAAGTAGTGGGGCTACTAGGCCAGTTTGATCTCATTTGACCTGGCCTAAGAGCCCCACTGTTTAACTACTATAGAGAAAACAAAAGAACAAAAAAAAAATAGTTTTACTTATCAGCCTTCAATGCGACTTTGAAATCCAAATCTAAATTAAACTTAAACAAATAAAAATACAAAATTAACGGAATGTGTCTAGTAAAAATAGTTTCACATATATATAGAGAAGCCATGTAACGGAAAGATAGTTTGTTTCAAAGATCCAGGGCTATAGAAACTGCCCTAAAAATAACAGAGAAACTGCTGAAAATGACTACTACCGTCTATAACCAATTTTCTTTCTCCTCGTTGACTGTCGACCGACTCTCTACTTTTACGTTTTCGCGACCTTTCATGACCCCTACAGTACGAAGAAATAGGTCTCCCGTTTCCATCCGTCACTCTGTCTGTCTGTCTGTCTGTCCGTCTGTCCGTCCATCTGTCTGTCTGTCTGTCTCTCTGCCAGTCTGTCTGACTGTCTGTCTGCGTCCTAGATTTTTATTAGACAGATAATCTCCGAAAGTACTGGGCCGATTGTTGTCAAATTTTGTATTTATATTAAGAATATCATGTAACCACGCTAACCAAAATTTGTTTAATCATCCCCACCAATAGTTTGATGACGTCGTCATGAAAACGTTCAAATTTTTTGAAAAAAAATCTAAATCATAAAACAACATTTTGTGATTTCATTTTGAATCTGCTACACCGAATGCGTTGAAATCTTGCAGACAGTTTAAGGTTATGATAGACATGATAATTTTTTCATCAAAATAGTTTTGCTTATTTCGTACAAAAAATTGATGACGTGAGCTCCGAATCTTGCCGAAACAATCCTATCTAAAATGTAGAAAATACTTGTAATTAATCATTCCGTTCAAAGTTTTTGGATTTGCACATAAAGAGTGACTCAAAAAAATTAATGAATGCGTTTATTTATTTTATACATTTAAACAGGAACTACATAACCGAATGCTTTCAAATCTTGGAGATGTTTTCAAGTAATCATAAGAATAGAAAATTTTTGATTAAAATGTATTTGCTCATCCTCCCCTAAAAAAAAATTACGTCACCCCAAAATTTTGCTGAA